ACTTTAAATCATTTTGCAGACTTAGAATTGATAAATTAAAAAAATAATAATTTTAACAGATAATTTGAGAGTGGAATTGAAAAATATTCTAATGAAAAAGTGGAGTTTTTTAATCTGTAAATCATAACTAGCTGTCTGAATCCATAAGCAGACTCTCCAGATTATTGGTAATAAATCTGTTTGATTTTACCAACCAATGAAAATCTGACAAATTTGCATGATCTGGATGGTTGTATTTTGTTGGCATGACTGTGATTTGATGAAATATCAGCTGCACAATTTGTCAGGTGAGACTGTGTAATTATATATAGGAGCCAATAAGAAATTTATTTCAGTTTCCACATGGCAGCAGAGCCTGTGATTGACAGACAGTGACTTTCAGCCAAGGTCAGTCGCTGCAGGAGCTTTTCTGTTTATTTAAAAAAAAGCATCTGATAAAACAGATGACAAATTTACACAATATTGTATGTCATTTAACATGAATCATCTTCGTTCTATTGTTTCCTCTTTTCATTTGGATCCTAGAAAAAAAAAAAAATAAAAGTGATTTTCCTTAATATGAAGCTTTCTGCTGTCCATTACACGCCTCCTCTGAATTTCTGAGGGAAGTCATCCCATTTTTAAAAAAGCCAAGCTGTTGCTTTCAATCCGGCCTGCAGTAGTCTGGATTCTTGCATCAGGGAATCCAGCTGCAGATTAAAAACCCTGCAGCAGACTCCATGTGATCATTTAGATATCTTCTTTTTGAGTCAGGTGGCGGGTTGTGGCGCCCTCTTGTGTTTGCTCTGATATTTCTGAGTCCTGATTGAGTGTTACATCAGAGTTAAGGCAGTATCAGAGAAAATCCAGGTTAGATAAAAATAAAACTCTTTTGTTTTTAGATTGTTTTTTTTTTTGACTGAGGGAACATTTGCTGCCCTACATAAAACACACATATTGAATCAGTTACAAGGGGAAAATGCTTTTATTTTTAAGATTTGATCTGGTGAAAACATCCTAAAACACCAAATTGAAAGAAAAAAAAATGTGGTGAAAAGGTATTAGTTTTTTGCCGCTTTTAATTTTTCTAATTTTAAGATCAGACATTTTGCTTTTTCAGTTAAACCCTTACAGAACCAGGTTAGTTATTCAGTGTAAATACTAAATGAAGAAACCTCATTGTCCCATAGTAAAGAATAGATCCCCCTGCTAAAGCACCTGTTTGTTTAAATTCCATAAGCCATATCCAATTAATTGCTTTCGGACTTGTAGAATCAAGAAATCACCTAAATAAAACCTCTTTGAAAATATAAAATAGACTAAAGGATCTTTAATTCACAAAAAGTTGAGAAAAATGTCAGCAAACCCAAAGGCTTTAGGATCTCAGCTGACCATTATCCATAACAGTGGTAAACCTTCCCAGAAGTTACTAAAATGACTCACATTAACAAATTATTCTAAAAGAACTAAGAGCAACATCTAAAGCAGTGCAGTTCTAAGTTGGATCTGTTAGGGAAGGTCTTGATGATTGCGCAATAAGAATAGACATCTTCCATTGAATTAATGGGAGAGTTTTAAGACCCAAACCACTGGAGACCACACAACATAAATTTAATTGATCTCCTTAGCCCAAATTCATAACAAATGTTGGGTCAATGCACTTTACAGAGCCAATTCAATCAAATCATCCACACAGATCAGTTACAATTTGTCTATCCATGGAAATCAAGCTGATTGCATGCTGTCACTGACTCCTTAGATTTAGTTCCCATTGGATGAGCTTGTATAGTCAGTGGACGGTCGCTTGCATTTTGCCACCTGATTGGGAGCAATTCCTCATACCAAGTATACCGGTGGCCACAGTGGATGGGAAAAAAACAACCCTTTAAACGAGAAAAAATCTCAAGCAGAAGCGGGCCAATTCTGAGTTTGAGAAGACAGCATAAACACACAAAGAGCACAGAAGCATTGATCCAGGAAGACTTTGTTTGAAAGAACAGGTTTATAGTAGTAGAAGTATCTTTTTTTTAGGAGAGAAAAACAACAAGGCTGATGATCTCTAAAGCTCAGGTTTATTAGATAAGAGGGAGCATATAGTCAGAAAAAACTAACCTCAACCGATGTTCAGGGTGAAAAGACATCTCTACAAATAAACAGGACCAAGTATATGAATAGTAAAGAAAGAGAACATTAGCTCACAGCCAAAAGTAGCAATCTGATGCTGCTTTCCAGGACGGACAAAATGCCAGGCCAAGTGTGGCTACTATAAAGAAAAACAACAACCAAAAAAATAGAGGCTTAAGGTTATGTCATGCATACTTGGACAACTCTGAGAAAAACAATTAGAGCCAACTAGAAAACTAGAGCCCTGCAGAACTGGGCTGTACACTCTGCCCCCCTTCCCCCCTCTACTCCTTAAGAGGTTTTCAGGTCCTCCGGCAGCCTAAGCCTGTAGCAGCATACCTACAAAGATAGCTCAGGAGGATACACTGCTTTTCAGACTTAAACTAGAACATTAAGATCTGTTTAATTTACCCTTAAAAAGATTTAGAGGGATTGATAGTTTTTCGGGGAAAGTTTTCTAAGTACTAACAAAGCTAAAGTAGAAGTTCTTGGTGAATTAAACCTCCCTCCTCGATGGTGTAAATGACTTCTTGGAAGAATTTGCAAAGACATAGTTGCAATTTTGTTGCACCTACGTGGCACAACCAGCAATAAGCTAAGCTGAACAAATACTTTGTCACATACAGTTTGTTTAAATAGCTTTGCTCTCTTAAAAAGGGAAATTATCTTTTGAAAGTTGCTTTCTGGATTTACTTAAATTGTCTTTGTCATCACCTTAATTCTCTGGTTCCTTTTTTTGCCATGGCAGCTGACCGGTTAGCTGATTCCACCACCACCTCCTCTCTCACGTGACCACGCCCCTTCCTTTCACTTCCAATCCCGACATGGAACCCATCAAGGTGCAATCAGAAGGCGGTCTAAATGTGACTCTCACCATCAGGCTGCTGATGCATGGAAAGGTACAAACAGCTGTTGAAACCTCTGGCTTCTATGTTGATTTAGGATTGAAAATAATCAGTTTGTTCTTCTTTTGCAGGAGGTGGGAAGCATAATCGGAAAGGTATTGATCAAAAGTACTTTAATTGGAGCTTTTCAAGTGAGATCTAAGTTGCAAGGAAAGATCTGACTTGTTTTATCTACTTTTCAGAAAGGAGAAACTGTGAAGAAAATGCGCGAAGATGTAAGATCTGTCCTCGTAAGATTTATCAGCCGATTGGGATATAAAACAAAAAGTAAATACATTGCATATTTTCTGCTTTTTTTCCAGAGTGGTGCCCGCATCAACATCTCGGAGGGGAATTGTCCTGAGCGGATAGTGACAATCACCGGGCCGACAGACGCCATTTTCAAGGCCTTTGCCATGATTGCCTACAAGTTTGAAGAGGTAAAGCTTTAGTTGAACATCCTAGTTAGAAGAAATAGCTCAATTTGGACCACATTTGGTCCCCATATCTGTCCTTATATTGTATGTAGTATGATTTACAATTTGATGTTAGAACTACTAGAGGGCATAATAGGTGTCATGACCACTTAATCCACATTGAAACAGGCAATGACCAAAGCACCCGACAATTAAAACTATACCTGAACATCGAAAAAATTCTAAAGCACAGTTGATTCCTCATATTCGCATTAGACAACATCTAAACAACATCATGTTTTAATGATGTCTTTTCTAATGTCCTTAGAGAGACTGTGTTTTTATTGTCTTTTCTTTTTAAAAAGGGCATATTTGCTTTTCTCAGCTTGGCATGATTCACGGACTACAAGATTCCAAAAACAGAGTGTGTCGCTTGGAGCTTTTGCATCACAACCGTAGCTATTTAACTGGTTCTAACCTGATGATGCTGACTCCGTTAGTCCCTCCTTTGAAATTGAGCTGTACCAGTTCTTAACCAGACTGACATAACGTATATGTCTTATCAATCTGTTTCACCAGCCTAAGGGAAAGGAGCCTGTATTTTTTCTTATTGATAGCTACTTTAGCATAAAAAGCTCGCTACATTCCTATCCTGCTGTAAAGAGCTATAAGAAATCTGTGAACTCTGTGTGACACATGCAAATGTTAACACTTTCATATGGTTTGTTTTTTGGTAATGGAGAGTTTTAGCTGGCCGCCACATTTGTTCATTTGTTAATGTATGTTTTTCCAGTTCTTTTCCAAAAGGCTGTTTTTGCAATTCGACAAAATGTATCCATGTGCGTTTCTGCTGCATAAAGTCATCCGTTATAATGTCCATGTTTGGTACAGCAGTCCAGAGTTACTTTCCTTTCCTGTTGTATTTGAATCAAGCCCTTGTTACTGTCTTCTCTTATCTCATGTCTTCAAGGTCAATGGAAGGGCTTCAGAGTTGTGGCTATTACTTTATTGTTTTCAAACAGATGCATAAGCCGATGTAGCCAATGTCGGTCCTCTAGTGCCATTGAAAAAAATTAATGGTTAATGGCCAGGCCTTTGCATACCTTACCAACATACAGGGTGTGTTGGAGCAGGGAGCATGCAAAAGCTGCAGAACAATGGCCTTTAAGGACTTATGTACCCTAAAGGTTAATTTATGCTCCTGATGCATAGCCTCTACAACAGTCAAATCTGTCTCTGTGACGACGGCTGCAGAACCTCTGCGCGGGTGGGGTGTGGTGCGAATCTCAAAAAAAATCCTGACTACGCATCGGATGGTTGCAAACCCGAGCAGACCTCAAGCACAGACAAGAAACAGCTGTGATTGGTCCTTTGTATGCTTTTCCGGTTGTCTGTGTGGTCATCCTTCTCGATTCAGTGCTGGGGCACGCTATTTTTAAAAACCAAGGAACCACTACAATGGACAACTACGACGAAAGTTTAATTGAGGAGGTTCGCACCATTAACAGTACCTTTTTTCTCTTCGACGTCTAGCAACTGTAGATACATCTTCTTGACCGTGATATCTTGCAGACGCTTCAGGATAAACACTCCCGCCAGCGCCGCTAAAGTTCTCGTTACCATCCGCTGAAGTTCTTGCGAGTTCTCGGAAAGACTCCCCCTTGCGCTTTAGCGCGAAACTTCTTTGAGTCCCTAGAAATTCCAGACTGACGGTGCAGAAGCAAACCAGCTAAACTGGTTTGCAACCAGACCCAAGCAACATTTGATGCGTGCAGTTGCAGAAGTATAATCCGCCCTTAACCCTGAAGCATTATAAAGTTCTTAGCTTTGACATCTTTTATCTTTCTGGTTCTTTTACATTTTTTTTGGTCATAGACTTTACTAATGAACATCCCACAATGCAACATGTTTTCTGGAATCCTATTCTTCCTGTTTGTTAATTCATAGCTTTACTTCATTACAGAGTCAAAGAATAACATTCTCTTTGTTTTTATTCTGTTTTTCAGTTGCTAAAATCAGTACAAACTACTGCGTCTAAATACATTGTACGAAAGAAATATTGAATTCTTTACGCATTTCTGGCATCAGCTCTCAAAAACCCAAATCTGTAAAGTTTCTGCTGTCGAGTGGTAAAATATTGTTAGGAGAAAAATAGAAAGCAAAGAAAAAGAAAGCTGAATCCCTGTCTCCTACTTGAGTACCGGGTATGGCTCATCAGGAAGAATACAAAGCAGGCTCAATTATGTTATGTAGGACAGAAATGTGCTGATCTCACCTTCCAGCACCCTCTGAAAATGGGCCAATACTCTGCTTTCATTAGGCCGTCGAATCTGCGTCGGAGAATGGTCCACAACATCGCAGATGGGCCTACCTGCCAACAGATCACTTAATCTCTGCAGGAAATTGTTTCTGCAGACTAAGACAAATGGGAAAAGAAGATGCCTGAGCTGCTCATAGTATTCTGATTAAATATATTCCTTAGACTTGGATTGTCAAAACAATTTACAGTAAATGATTAAATTTTTCATACAGTACTACAGGTTAGTATTTACTATAATTTAAACGCTGCATAAACATATGAATACAGTTCCCCTGTAGAAGGATCACCAGTTATTTCATAAATGCTAGAAAAAAACAGAGGGATTTTCTAAAGATAACTAGACCATCAATTCCTCAATGATTTGACACTTTCCGTGCACTAATGAAACATTACATGGAAAGATTTGACTATAAGGTTTTTGGTCCATTTTGAGGAAAAGAGGGAAGCTTACAAGACTGAGAAAACCGTCTTATATAACAGAACTAGATGTAAATTATTTATCACCCTTAAAAAAGGAGTAACTGGATTACGTTAATTTGAAATAATTTATTGTGTTTAAAAGTTAACAAGTTAAACCATTGAAAATAAATTAGGTTGAATGAACCTCATTCAATCAGTTTTTACTACAACTACTTTGTTTAAGTTGGAACTGCAAAGGAGAGGTATGCTGTTCCACACTCTTTATGTTCTTTGGTAAATTATCTACCTGTGGTCCTGATCTTAGAGAGTTGTACATTTTAAAGTCCAGGCCTAGGAGTATATTTTCCCCTATAATAAACAGATAGCAGCTTAGCTACTTCTTCTTCTTAATGACATCGAAAGAGGTTTAAGTCGCATAAAATGTGTCCTACCTTTATATCTCGGGAACACAATAATTTTACTTAACTTTTGACCTGTTTTTTATGTCAGTAAACATAACTCAGTGTTTATTGATGCTCTTTGTATGCTGCTCTTCTTATAAACTCTTCTATCTAACTTGAGAGGGTCAGATCTGTTTCTGAAGGAGTCATGTGACAAAGACTGCCGTTTATAGCAGTCCGAGGTACCTTTAAACCTTTAAAAGTTGTCTGTTTCCCTATCTGCTGGTCCAAAGCGGTCTGCTATCAGATTCCAAAACACAAAGGGAGATGCTTTGATTATACGGCAGTGCTGCCCCTTTTAGAGCCTCCTTTAGGGGGCTCCAAACCTAAAGGTTACATGTCTGTCGCCTCTGTTGGCTAAAAGCTACACAGTGTTTCTTTAAGACAAAGTCTTCGGGGTTGTAAATTTATGTCAAAAACTAGGAAGAGTAATTCCTTCAATATATCAGCAATAGTCTCACTCACAATTCATCAAACATTGATGCTTGTCACGTCCCCTGCACCTGTCATTTACTCTGCGCGTCGTTCAATGATGAGACGGCTACCCCCGTCATGTCAGTATGTGCCACGCAACAGGCTTTAACCATGTGTCAGCATTTCATGAGGTTGGAGTGAGAATGTGTTGGAATCCCATGACCTACCTCCTCTGTGGTCCAAGCTTACTTCCTGTGTGTGATGACACCACAGGGCTAGATTTGCATAGAATCTTCATGGAACCTAGCTTTTTAAAATTTCATTTAACTTAAAATCCGTATTCGTTAACCTAGTGAGGCCACTCTTAATGCATCATTATGAGATTAGTTTGTATTAGACTTCCTGATACACCTTAAACCAAATTTCCCAGTCGCAAAATGTTAAAACCACCCTTTCAAACATGATTTGAAATTTAGGCTACAAATCGAACATTTGTTGCCTAAATTTACTTCTTGTTCTTCATGACATCACGATGGGCTTAGTTTAAATAAAGGTTGAGTTGGGGCTCTTGGGCCCTTTTGCCAAAATGACCAAACAGAGATTTTTGGACCTTTTTTGAAACCGAGTCGGATAGTTGATGCATTGCAGATGGCAAAATGAGATACATTAATAATACGTTTTCAATAAAACATTGAATTTCCTCTCCGCCTCGTCAGGATATAATCAATTCAATGAGCAACAGTCCGGCCACCAGTAAGCCACCAGTAACCCTGAGGCTCGTCGTTCCTGCCAGCCAGTGTGGCTCCCTTATCGGGAAAGGCGGTTCCAAAATTAAAGAAATGAGAGAGGTAAGCAGCAGTTTTGCCATCTGTACAATAATCAGTAGATACCATCATATGTTCCTAAAATCCTAAAATTAGCAGATAACATCATTTTCAAAACCTTACATATCATATGCTACCTTCTGTTAATATAATTAAAGCTGATCAGGTCAGTGAAAGATGAATCAATGATGTCTTCTGGTTTTATGTCTGCACTAGTCCACAGGAGCTCAGGTGCAGGTTGCAGGCGACATGCTGCCCAACTCCACCGAGAGAGCAGTGACCATCTCTGGAGCGCCGGAAGCCATCATCCAGTGTGTCAAACAGATATGTGTGGTGATGCTGGAGGTACAGTGGCAAAGGGAAAGGGAGGGGGCACACACTTAGAGCATTTTCCGTACTCATGGATGAAAACTAGTGCATTTGATACAATTATGATCCCTTGAGTAAGATAAGAACTCTCTTTTAAATGATTCACCTGTGCAGTTAGTTTCTTTCACAAGGGAACAACATTTTTTTGGTCAATATATGAAAAGAAGATGTAAAAAAAACACATTTAAAAAGGCTCAACATCTGTAGAACACCTGCTAGGGGTTTAACTGATCAATCAGCGTGGACAAGACGTCTTCTTTTTCCAGGACATGTCCTACTTTTAATACCTAAAAAAAATGTCCGGTGGGAATTTCAAAATCGCAGAACCGAGCCGTGAGCTCCGGGTTTGGTCCGGTGCAGGGAGCCAGCGGGGGACGGAGCGATGGAACCCGAACCGGTGACTGTAGCCTATACAACGGCGGACAAAGGCAGGCTGGGGGAAGCATACCGTCACCAGGTTTGGGTTCGGTCCAGCCCCGGAGCTGATGGCTTGGTTCAAAGACCCTGTCCAGTCCAGTCAGCGACCTAGCAGCCCCCCCCCCCGGGTCCCCCTGTCCAGTGTCCTACTTAACAGAAACCCAAATCAGGTCACCATAGTTATATAGGCAAGAAAAACTTAAAATATGTCTGTCCCCACTGTGCTCAGTTATGTCAAAAATATTTTAAGGTTTGTTCATCATTAGCTAGCTAACTATATCTTTCTCTTGCTAGCTAGCTAGCAATCTAGGCCTCTCCAACTATATATATTTGTAGTGACAGAAATAGATAGCAAAGGACTCACTAGGTACATTTACAGGGACAGAATAATCAGATTGAAACCCTGATAAGATTAAAATATTTCATATAACCATGTCAGACTGAAGACTCTAATCCGATTCTGTCCGTTTGGAAGGATATTTCGTTACGAACCAGATCTTTTTTCGACTGCCCTTCCGTTTGCCGTCTATATACACACCCAGTCAGATATTTAGCATTTTACTCCTGACCTTCTTACACTGGCTTTTGGTCCTTGGTGGAAAAAATGTAATGTGCCATGCTGCCTTTTACCCCTGTAGAGAAGGAGCATTAGCATAAGCTACTGCTGAGGCCTTAACATTGCTAAAATGACCACCAATACCCAAAAAAATAAAACAAAGGTGCGTCAAAGGTCCATTATGAAAAACTAGGTCAACAGACACGACTGAAGCAAAACAAATGTGAAGTGCATTCACAAAGGGTAGCTAGATTTGAGGATAAGCGGACAAGTACGGGTGTATTCAAAAAACAGTAACTACTACTACTACTTTCGGAATGCTACATGTATACACAAACGTCATGGTCAGATAATTTTATTAAGTGTCCTTTTGATGAGAGGTTTTGAGTTTCCAACTAACCAAGGTTTAGATCGAATCGGGATGCACATGTAAGCAAAGCTACCATGGCCTTACCAACCTTCTCCGTATGCATTTAAGTTCTCTGAAGTATCCCGACAACAGACTACTTTATCCAGTACCAATTTCTCTTGATTATTGTTCTCACATGTCAGAGTTCTATGTTGGATCTTCTTGCACCATTAATTTTAACTATCTGCACAGCCAGTTCTCCATTGGGCCTTCATGATGGCACCAGCCATGGATGCTAGGACTTTTGTGACATGACTGTAAGTCTCCAGAATATGGACTGAGAAATATATTTAAAGAGCACTATGTTGAGTCGTCATTATCCAGTTGAAAGTGATTTTCCAGGTAAATCCAGGTGTAGTTGTGCACTGAACCACAGTTTGGATATTTTATGTCAGCATGAACACAGTGAAGAGCACTTTTGTGTGTCACAGGTTGTCTTCCCCGAGGCACCGTCCCTTTTGGTCTCACTTTATGCAACTTCTGTCTCTCTTCTTTTCTGCTCTAACACTCTCTCCACATCTCCCCTCCCAACCTACCTCCCACCCCCCCCACTCTCTCCTCCTTTGCTCTCCTCAGTCCCCACCGAAAGGTGCCACCATCCCTTACCGCCCAAAGCCTGCCTCCACCCCTGTCATTTTTTCAGGTGGCCAGGTAAGAGCAGACCCACTGGGGGCGTCCACAGCCAACCTCAGCCTCTTACTGCAGCACCAGCCACTGCCTGTTAGTGTCGCACCAGGTTTTACTCACGTTTCCCCCCCAACCCTCACTCCTCCTCTTCCTGCCCCCAACTAGCATGAAACTATCCCCACTGTTTACTCTCACCAAGCAGTCTGAGCCACTTGAACCAGAACTGAGATAAATATCTAAAAACATCCATAAGTTTCCAGCACATGGGAACAATTAATGCTCAACAAGAAACATAGCAGATTAACTTTATTAACAGAACCTAAAACTATAGACATAACTATAGGTTGATAAATTTAACTTTTGATGGTTCCTTATTTCCTTCTTTATTTTGTGCAACACTTGCACCAATTGGACATAAAAAAAGGTAATGCCTCCTTTCCAAATAACCATAGAATTGCACTTTAGTCCTCATAACATGACAGATGTTGATTACTTTTCTATATTTTGAAACCTTAAATCCCAGGTTTTGCAATTAAGTGTATATTTTTTTCCATTTAACACATCAAGGGAGTATAATCTAAGCCTGGCATTTAAAAAAAAGAAGTATTCCTTGTGCATACATTGAAATAAGATATTTTTGTTCCATCCCATAAATTGGTAAATTGGTTAGAAAAAAAAAAAGAAAAAAAGATTTTATTGTTTTATTTTTTTTATTGTTGAAGTTTTATTGTTTTTGTTACACTAATTCTGATGTATATATATATATATANATATATATATATATATATATATATATATATATATATATACATCAGAATTAGTGTAACAAAAACAATAAAACATCAAATGAAACAATAATCAAACTATTGCAAATGAAATAAAAGATTAAAAAGCATATTCTCAGAGGAACAGGGTGGGCTTGCACCTAATAGAGTTTGGTCAGGGTTGAAATATAAAAAGATAAAAATAAAAAGAAGACAGTAAGAATTACATCTGAATGGGTCATAAATATTGCTAGAACATAAAACCTAATCAGGATAATGTCTACTTAGTCACTTTTTCCCTTTTTTTTCTGCGCCAAAGTTTCAACAGATGATACTTTTTCCTTCCAATCTGCCTTGTTTTAAAACATGCTCTTTCTATAACATATACATATATATGGAAATACCTATCCTTAAAAAATGTATAGCATCTGCACAGTATTCCTTAGGAACAGATTAGCCTTAGTGTCTTTTTTAAAATTACTCGCACACTCGTGTGAATGAGGCTGCAGAAAAGGAATTGAAACTGCAATTCAACTTGAAAGAATATTAAACTGAATTCTTAATTAAATGTCGCTTACAATCAAAGAAGACTAGTTCTTATAATGCTTATAACAACTTTTTCAACTGTGATTGAATTATCCTGGAGTACCCCTGAAATAGATTAAAAAACCTGTCATGTAATCACTACAGTAAACCCTGTCTATCAAAACGAAGTAAACCTTTGGGGGGAAAAAAATTACATTTAGGACTAGATAGTCTTCTTTTCTTTTCTAAAATAGTTTTTATCTTGTTGTTTTAACATATTTTAACCTCTAATTTAACTCGGTTCTGACCTCGGTGGCCCTGAAAACCACAACACATTCAGTAGGTCCAGACTTTTCACCCCCTTAAGGGTTTCTCCTCTGGTTTTCTCCACACTACCCTTCTGTCTGAGTTGTTCCTTATTGATTTAGTTCAACTGGATCTGACTGATAAATAGAAGCAGATACTATTACAGAATGCATGGCTTTAATGTCATATAGAAAAGAATATAAATCAGTTTAGGCTGTTATCTTATTCATATACTTTGCAAATTTATCAGAGCATGTTTTCGTTTGTTCAGTCAACCCAACATGGTAACAACCAGCTCTTTTCTTCGTGTTTACAGGCTTACACCATCCAAGGACAGTACGCTATCCCTCATCCAGATGTGAGTGCTAACCCCGCTAGGCAGCCAACACTGCACTCTTCAACACTCTTTCTCTTGCTTTCTACCCACTCTTATTAATATTAATGAATAATATTAATATTATTTCTTATAAATGTGCATTTCCTGTCTTCTAACTTTATAGCTTCTTGGCTACCTTTCTGTTTCCGGGTTTAAACCTCATGGGCTTGGCCTGAAGGGCACTTTTCTTAAAATAATTTGACAGACAATATGCTTTGTTAAACTATATTAAATGTCATCTAAAGGATTAATTATTTTTGTCTCAAATGAACATTATTTGGTGCGACTATGTTTTTCTCCATTAAGCACTAATATCGTTGCATGTCTTATAGGAATTGCAAAGAAAATCACCTAGTGGGCAACAACCTGGACTAGGTTCAAAATAAGGCCCGGCCTTTTTGGTCCCGGCGGCCCACCATTGATGTTATATTTTATGGGGTGACGCATAGCATACTGTAGCACATATACACACTTTTGGGAGGTTTCAAAGGAAATATATAACAAAAGAAATGAATCAGAAACTATTTTATAAAGAGGTTACTCACATGTAGCTAAGATTAATCAGTTCATCAGCAGACTGTTAGTGCTAATGCTAACCTTTTTTACGTGTCCATAAAGAAAGCAGCAAACTTTGCATGGCATCTGAGCCTCTTTAGCTCCTTAAGTAAGCAGCAGTGCTTGAAGGCTTGAACAATGTTCACGCAGGTGTCTTCTTTATTTCTTGGTCTTCAGTTGTACTGTTTGTCAGCCAGCTTCCTGATCCACGAATGCTAATGCTAGCTTAGCAGCCTTTTAACGTACCTGTCCAAAAGGAGAGTGGTGATCTTTGGTGGCATCTGCCCTGTTGCTTCCTTAAGTAATCATTATTGCTTAAAGGCTTGACCAATGTTCACGCAGGTGACTTCTTTGTTTTTTGGTCTTCAGTTGTACTGTTTGTCAGCCAGCTTCCTGATCCACGAATGCTAATGCTAGCTTAGCAGCCTTTTAACGTACCTGTCCAAAAGGAGAGTGGTGATTTTTGGTGGCATCTGCCCTGTTGCTTCCTTAAGTAATCATTATTGCTTAATGGCTTGACCAATGTTCACGCAGGTGTCTTCTTTGTTTTTTGGTCTTCAGTTGTACTGTTTGTAAGCCAGCGTCCTGATCCACGAATGCTAATGCTAGCTTAGCAGCCTTTTAACATACTTGTCCGAAAGGAGAGCAGTGATCTTTGGTAGCATCTTCCCTGTTGCTTCCTTAAGTAATCATTATTGCTTAATGGCTTGACCAATGTTCACGCAGGTGTCTTCTTTGTTTTTTGGTCTTCAGTTGTACTGTTTGTAAGCCAGCGTCCTGATCCACGAATGCTAATGCTAGCTTAGCAGCCTTTCA